AAAATTTTTATCTACTACTCTGTCTACGATTTATTTTTCTGCTGTTATAAAACTGTCTTCATTTACAATTTCAAAATTATCATACTTTAAGAACATTTACTCGATACAGTTTTCATATTGAGAAAATTTGTCACCAAATGGTTTCTATTGAAAAATAAATTTGATATTTTTAGTTTGAATGTATGGAGTGAACATTTGTTAATTATTATTTTGAATTAGTGAAATCGTAAACCTATTATACATTTTAAACTATCAGAATATTGTATTTATGGGGTTCTGTTAATGACAGTTAATAAACATTCATTGATCACAAATTATAATAGATTAGTATTTCATTTTATAGTAAATATTATTGATAACTGTCAAGTTCACGTGGCTAAAACTTAAATTACAGCAATTTATTACTAGGGAGAAAATACTACATATTGAGAAATGATCAAGATTTTACTTATGTGTATATACTAATTTCGAGCAATTAAACGTTTTATATTTCAATATAAATAAGAGTTACATTTGTAAGTATATAACAGGTACAGTGCACTTAAGCAACAGGACTTAATCAATTCCTTTACATTAGGAATTGATTAAGTCCTGTTCACAACTCGTATTATATAAAAAGAACACACCAATGTCGACCGAATGATTAGTTAATCTTGAAAATTAACCAATTGTAAACTGTATTAGTATTTTAAATAGATAGATAGCATAAGTACTTTTATACATATAGAATGCTTCTTTTAATATTAACCATTCAATTCCTCATTATATAATGATTATACTAAGAAAATTTTTTGTGATATTTTTTAATATTATATATTTTTCGATTTATTATGTATTAAATATTTTTTAAATTCATTCCTTGTATCTTATACCTTAAAAATAAATAGAATAGTTAATATTAAAATAATCACCTTGTATAAATAGTAATGGTACCGACTATTTATATATAAATGTTCAAATGTGCTTAGAAATATATACCAAACGTGTTAATATTTCTCAGCTTGTCACAGAAACAATTTCTAATAGTCGACTTCGACAGACTACTATCAATTTAAATATCATATTTTATATACGAAGCATAAAGTTGACAAAGTGTTAGAGATATCTGCAAATTTCAATAATTTTTCTTCAACAGTTTAAAATGATACGTTTATATGGATATCTCAGATTAAAACAACCTTACAAACACCAAAAAGACATACACGGCAACCGTTCGGGTTGACACCGGAAGGCAATTTAATCCGATAAAGCCTTATTATAAAGAACATTGTTAGAAATGTCATAGTTTTCATACGTCATAATTCTAACAGCTGCACACGATGTTAATCATTTTGCTATACAAAATAAGTATGGAAACGAAATGAACACACTAGTGTATTATTATCCTACTGGAGTAGTTTATAACACACCAACAGTATTGGTATTAAGTACTACACTTAAATAAGATATAATAATACAAGCAAATTGGAAATTAATTTTGTTTGTTTTCCATAACTGTAATTAAAATGACTTTGTTCTTCGACGCAAAATATACCACGGGGTGCAACGTTAAATATAACAAACGATAATTTACAAGAATATCCGAGTAAAATGACATAATTATTATTATCTAGGGAAAATATAAAACGTGACCACGGTATGTTACCGTTAAACGGTGTTACAGATTAATACAGTTTGTGGTTAATAGCAGAAAGGAAAAAATGAGTCCTCCGAGCTACTAAAACATAATAGATACGCGATGCAGTAGTATAAAAGGCTATGCACTGTGACCATATAAGCTAAAAGGGTTGCTGTTTCCATTGTACCGGTAATTGGAAACTTAATGGACTCGGCAAATGGTTTCCACTGGACCAAAAATAAATAATATCAAACTAAATTAATGTTAAAGGGACTAATCTAAAAATTATTACAGTCGTTTTATATGGTATCAGAAAAATCAAAAAAGTTAATGTATTATTTTAGTAAATATTTTAAGAATTATGATTGTAAATGATAAAAATTCAAAGATTACGGAATTTTTATCTGACTTTACAGTTTGATATCTTACTTGGCTTAATAATGTTCGAGACAAGTAAAAAATGCGACAATTGTTTGTAAATGACATGGATTGTCCAAAATTAGTTTTAATATTTTCAAAAATTGTTAAATTAAATAAACAATACATAACTCTGTAGTAAGCTCTTATGAGTGTTCCAATAGGTAATAGCCTAAATTCCATAAGGGTATTGATGTATGTTTGAACATAACAAATAAATTCAGTGGAGAATCACATTCAGTACTAAATATCATTTAACCGAAACGTTACTGACGAAATGGATCCTGCCCGCGATTCGATAGCCTTCGGGTACATACGTGTCCAAAAGTAATGTCTAGTTATATGGAATCAACAATAGGGTTGAAGGGTAAACACGATAATTTGACCTATGAACATTTCTGTATGCACACAACTTCTACAAGGCTGCACTATTATTACCATCGTGTTACTCCTCCCATTTAGAAACTTGGAGCTGTCCTACCAAACCCTTTCGGAAGTATATCGTTATTCTATTGGTAGGTGAACAGTTTTGGTTACAGGTGACATTTAACATAGTAATTGTTAGGCTAATATTATATATCAAAGATGAACCTATAAATTATATGTTTATTATATGAAAAAGGGTTACTGTCTATAACTTTACATTATAACCTAAAGCTCTTAAAAGAAATTTAAATGCATATTTCGGTGTTCCAAGTATATGAGATTGTAAAACAGAACTATGGCATTATTTTTTATTCGCTTTCGCGTAAAATTTCTTAGCTATCAGATCTTAAGCCATTTACCTTGTCTCACATGCTACATGATCAATATACGCTTGTATAACCTATCTAGGGATCCACGATGGATGCTTTTATCTTTATGTTAATACATAAGTGTCGAATAAATCTATACAATCACCACGATGATAATACTGCAAAACTAAAACCCTAATAGACTTTTTTTGCCGAACGCTCTTACAGCGGTTGGTTGGATGAAAAAAAGTTTTTCTCGTGCGTCAAAATGTGTGTGTGTGCACAGAATATGCGTATGTATATGTGTTTACGACTGTTTGTTATTACTTTTATCGATCAACGCCGGCGGGGGGCAATAAATACGCGAAAAATAATAATATATTCTCTACCGAATGTATTTTATTCGCAGAGGACATATGAATTGGCTGCGCTCGGGTGGCGACGCGGCGTTGTTTGCGGATATAAATCAAAGCGGACAGTTGTAGATGAGAAACTAGTGGGCGAGCAGACCCGGAGAAGATATATGGATATGATATTTCATAAATTGACCGTTTTTCCGATGACGCCGCCGCCGCCGGGCACCGCTGAAAACGAAAATAACGACCGGTGACCGCAATTTGTCCGCGCCAGTTTTGTTTTGCCAACTCGCTGCACATTATCATTACATACTCGAATGATAAACACATCGGAACAAACAGTCGGACGTTGAAAATTCTCACATTTTTCTTGTACCTGTGCGAACCATTTGTAACAAATGTGCTCTGTCGAATATGATGTCATTATTTATCGGTATTAGGCGACGCATTATTTCCATAACTGCCAACGAACATTTCTTTATTGATTTCGGCGCTCGTCACTTATTGTGAGCTCATCGCCGAAACGGCAATGTCGGTAATTAGAGTAAAACACCATTGTGTGTCTATTGTTCGATTCCTACTAAAGTACTCTGCTATTGTCGATTACAAAGTGTAACAAACAAATTACACGAGTAACCTATGTCGGGCCGAGTATTTTCTTTCTTTGGAATTATCAAAAATAAAGGTTAATATTTTCTCGGGGAAAAAAAATACCCAAACATTTCGTCTTGTAAACTCGGCGCGCAAACTATTGCATATATTTGACGTGAAGAAGTGTTACACTTTACGAGAGTAGTTGTTCTGGATCAATCGTTGGTTTCCCGCGGGTGTAATCCCTTGGACAGGATTTTGCAATAGTTACACAGTTCGGCTCTGCCATTGATCATTCAAGCGGCGTACCTGCTCGGGTTACTTTTACACGGTCGTTTAGATTGAATATAATCGCCGGTATACGCCGAGGATGAAGGAAATATCGTTGGATTACATTTAGTGGACGGTAAGCTCGTGGTAAAAATAACTATGGGATAGAGAAAGAAAGATGGAAGCGGACAGACAGGATAAGATTACGGTGGCGGTGGACAAACGCTAACACGCATTATATATCAGCTGCGTATAGAAACTTTTGGATGTATCCTTCGCGTAAGCTTCCCTTCTCCGTTGATCAAGCAAGGATAGTTGACAAGGATTACAACGTTGGCAAAGAAAGAAAGAGGCGACGTGAGTGGAAGAATGGAGAAGTGAGGTTAAGGAGTGTAAAAAAAAAAAATGTATAAAAGTGAGGGAAAGATACGACTGAAAAGTTGGCAACGGGTCGATTAAGGCCCAACACAGCTACACGCACAGAGGTCAATACTTTCAGTTTCTCCTTCCGTTGTCATCGTCGAGGCTGTTTAGAAATTTCACTCGACGTGACTACGGGGTATTGTCTGTCTCGATGAAATTTATTTATTTTTCAATCTAATTTGGTTCAATTTATTTAAAATGACTAGTCGTTTTACCGCCGATGGAATAAACTAGATTAGAAGTGTACCCTTGGGGTATGAATAAAACGGATACAAATACAGGGGTAGGAAAAGAAAGAGCAGTGAGTGATTGCTATACCTTAAGCTTTCGTTTTCGCACGGAGTGCAGCGCATTAAAATTACACGAATTATTGTTTTGTTATACCAGAGGAATGTTTTTGTCCTCTCCTTCGGCAGTAGCGTGGGGTGACCGTCGTGGCGAGAGCGGCGGTAGCGGAGAACCGCGCCCGGACCTGGTGGCGTATAGCGCTCGGTGTCGACGGGCCCCGTGCAGCGGGTTATAAAATGGGGTGGTCAGAGCGCACGCGTCGATACACGCCCTTACTCTGGTCCAGCGGCAGCCGGCGACGGCATCCTCGCCAGTCAGCGTTGCGCACTTCCTATGCGAATACGCCCGTCGTGCTAAACTCGTGTCACTGTTGCCTGATAGATGTTATTGGTGAATATCGATATTGACACATACGAAAAACGTTTTAGACTGACACGTTACTTGTGTTTTTCATTGTGGAGCATAATTTTTGGATAGTGATATATTGTGGAACGTCCACTCTTCTCGTTTCCTGCCTATAACCCCAGTAGACATGACAGCGTATCTGAGCGGCGCGGTTCGCACGCCGCTACCGTCGCCTTTGCCCATATGTTTCGATCGAAGAAAATCTTGTCGTCTACACGTGAGTAGTCATGTGTATATACATTTTTTTATCGGTTTAAGGGATAGTTATTCTTCATTGAAGAATTTTTACGTTAATAATCACGTGTTGGACTTGACTTCTTACTAAAATGTTAGGAAAGAAAGTTATAGCAAGTAAAAAACTGAGGAGCGATTGTGTTTTATTGGCGAGGTTCCGTCAATTTAACACAAAGGGGGTGTCTATTGTGACGAAGTTCTATTGTATTCAAAAGAAAAAAAGTTTGTGTCTAACACAAACTCGGTCATCATTGTTGAAGTGCTCGACGTTTTCTTTATATTTTCTGCGTAGAGGTGAACACATATAAAGTTGAAGGACTATTCAATACGTGCTATGATTAACAATAAAAACAACAATATCATATATGTTTCTAACTAACGTTTAAATAAAGCATAAAGGTGAAAACTTTTCAAGTACAATTTATTAAACGTGATCATTTTTGTTTTCAGATGACTATGGCATCGTCAGAGGTCTAACAAGGAGTATGGGAAGAGAGGCATGGGCCTACGGCTGGACCAGAGATCATTGAGCAAAGTCACGGTAGTCATCGCAGCTCTTGTTCTCACGCTGTTTAACAGGGTCCTAGTCTCAAGTGAGTCAAAGATATACGAAATGGAAACGTAAAGAAGTATTTTTTACACCGTAGCCCTATAACTAGGGGACTTCTATATAATACGTGATCATTATTATTAGATACGTGAAGTTACGGTTAACTGCTATGCACATATTATAATAGTTCAATTAATAACTTTAAATAATCATAAGTGAAAATATCTGCCACCGTCTATTTTGACTCCCTCCAAAAAAGTCCATATACTGTCAATCGTGTGAAACTGGAAGAGAATTATCTATTTTACAGGAAATATTATTTTTCTGGAGCAAATTCGTAGGCTGAACATTTTTCCATTTTCCTATCAAGAGTATTTTTATGTTTAATGACCGAGAAACTATATCTCTCAGAAATCTGTCAAAAAGAAACGGACCCTCATCCAGTCCAGATGATATTATATGCCGCATAAAATGCTTTCCAAAACCATTATCGATGGGCAAATTAAAAACGTGTCACAATCATCAGATAATTTTTGAGACGTGACATTTGATTATTTCTTGGTCTCCAACCAGTTATACACCGAAAATAAAATAATTGTTATTACCACACTCTCATCAATATCCGTTATATTCATTTCCACTTTATAATATCATAGAAGACCGTTGAACACTTTCAACCGTTCTACTGGCCAACCTTATATTTCAAAAGATTCACTAATAAATTTCTATATATTGAACAACAATCTCATCACTCGATTAAATGTTGTATAGTATTACTTCAGTAAAATCATGTTCGTATGTCCGTTTTTTGAAATTGTTCAAGAGGCATAAAAAACTAAATAATTAAATTTCTAATAGTATCACAATTTTGTAAACGTAGATTTAAATTATCCATATGAAAAGATGACTATACATATTTATATATTTAGTTTTTACATAATCTGAAGTATATTTTTTAACAAAAACAAAGAAGCAAACTGGAGATTCCTTATTATTGCACAGAAACGATCAAATATTGTTTTTCTATATTTTATTTTTATAAATTTACTAAGCTTATAACTATGAATTATAGTTATGTTTTTAAAACATAGTATAAATTGATACAATAAATATTACTCCTACTTTATTAAAAAAAAATCAAGAAAAACAAAATATGAATTATTAGGTAACACTTAATTATTAATTTATTTTTTGCTTTTAAATAAAACAAAAAACTCTTACTTACTACGACAAAATATTGAAAAAAATCTAAATTACAAATTAATTTTGTAGTCAGACTGATTTTACAAAGTATACTTAAATAATAATGGTATTTATTAATATTAGTTAGACATTTTTTTAAATAAAACAAAACTATTACATGCTATACAAATGAAACAAAAAAAAAACAATTAATTAGTTAAGCAGTCAGATTGATTAATATTTAAAAAAGTTGTTNAATCTATTTCTGCTTTGGAAACTAGAGTGACCATCAAAAAGGACGGGTCAATGGTTATCAACCCAGTAAGTGCTGACGATTCGGGTATAAAAACCAGATATCTCCTTTTGTATGATATTAGCCTATCTAGAGGATGGATTTACCTTGTTATAGCACCAAACTGTGGACATAGATTTTATTTATCAAACATTGTACAAAAATTAATTTAAAAAAAAATAGAGATTACTCTGGACCCCTATTATTATTTATATTAGTTCCCGATGAAAATCACGTTTAATTGTATGAATATAGTAGCGCTGGCCACCAATTAATGAATATATTAAAGTTTTGTATTCTATACATATTGTACTCACTTAAAATAATTAAATTATTATAAATTGTTTTCTATATGAAACTTTTTTTTGTTTTAGTTATCTTACTCAGTTTTTAAAAAGAACCATTAACTCTGTTTTTTTTTAATTATCACTCACTTCAATTGAGTATTCATGTTTAAAAAATAGTTTATTTAATCAAAACTTACACATTTTTAGTTTCAGAATTTCCTTTATTTTATTTTTTGTCTTTTCAGGGCTAAAATATTTAACAGTTAAAAAGTTATTTAACCATTTTTTGCATTATTTGCTGACGGTTTCTAATTTTGAATCCATCGATAGTTTATAATAAATTTTACATATAATATAATATTTTATGCTGGATTTTAAAGAATATTATTCTTTACAACTAGTAAGTCATTATCTATTGTATCATTTTTTTATTGCTTTATGTTATATGTAATCATAATTTTATACAGAATATTTTTTATGAATTCATTAAAAAATATCATAAACTATCTTAGAAAAAATGAACATTAAAAAAAAGCTATACATATAAATATCATTTAAGTATTTTGCATTCGCTTCATAAATTATTTTTTATTGTTATTTAATAGCTTTTATATTTTTTCTTTATATTAAAGTAGACTTTCATTTAGAACCCTTTGGAAATATTCTTTTAAGTTTTTTCTTACTGTTCGAGGAGTGACCTACCTAGTACTAGAAATTTTCTTTTTCTTTTGTCGGTCAAACAAATACTATAGAATAGTAACTGCATTTAAGAATCGCGGCCACTTCCGACCTTTAAGAATATGTTTGAAATACATTGATAAACCTCGAGAACAATACTATTAATTATATCCAGAATTCAGACAATTATATTGTTATTACTAAAAGTTTTTTCTGTTTTTTAGCTACCGGGTCAACATTCAATGATGCTGTGCACATCACGGCTATTGTGGGCGAATCAGTCGTGTTTAACTGCCAGGTGGAATTTCCAGCCGAACACCCCGTGCCTTATGTATTGCAATGGGAGAAAAAAGTAAGTAGACCGTTAGTCAAAAACAATCTTAAACAGAAATTATTGTATTAATCAAATACTAAAATCAACTTAAATTACTTCAAATTTGATCCAAAGATATTTGTCTCTTTTTAATTTAACTTTTTTGAATAATTATTGTTTTTTTTTTCATATATAAAATGGTGTTTTATTTTTAGGGACTTGACATACCAATATTTATATGGTATGACAATTACCCCACTCACAGTGGAGCGGGATACGAGGGCCGAGTGGCTAGAGTATCACCAGACTCACCATACGGCCTTGCTTCACTCAACTTGACTAATATACAAGAATCCGATCAAGGTTGGTATGCATGTAAAGTAGTATTCCTCAATCGTTCACCTACAAATAAAAATGGTACTTGGTTCCATCTTGACGTTCATGGTAAGTTAATGATTATTACTGCTATTATTTTAATAGATAAAAATTGTAAATGATTAATAAAAATTTGTTTTATTTTTCAGCACCTCCTAGGTTTGTTACCATACCTAGTGAAGTCCAGTATATAAATTTAGGCGATTCCATCATACTGAACTGTCAAGCCGTTGGAACTCCTACGCCCGAAATCGTTTGGTTCAAAGATGCTACGGACATACAACCAACAGCAACAGTTGGCATATTTAACGATGGCACTGAACTGAGAATATCCAATATAAGGAATGAAGATATTGGAGACTACACGTGTATCGCAAGAAATGGTGAGGGTCAAATAAGCCACACAGCTCGAGTTTTAATTGCTGGTGGAGCTGTTATTATGGTACCTCCGTCAAATCAAACCAAGTTGGAAGGCGAAAAAGTGGAGTTCACGTGTGGTGCTAAAGCAATGCCCGGTAATGTCACCGTTCGTTGGTCCCGAGACGGAGCTATGGTGAAATCTATTTCTGCTTTGGAAACTAGAGTGACCATCAAAAAGGACGGGTCAATGGTTATCAACCCAGTAAGTGCTGACGATTCGGGTCAATATCTATGTGAGGTTAGCAACGGAATAGGAGACCCGCAGTCCGCTTCAGCTTATTTAAATATCGAATGTTAGTATTTTAAATATAATTCATTGTAACAAAATAAATATTAAAATTTTTTATTCACTATATTTTTAGATCCGGCAAAAGTGACATTTACCCCGACCGTTCAGTATTTACCGTTCCGTTTGGCCGGCGTTGTCCAATGTTATATTAAGGCGAATCCGCCTCTACAGTACGTCACTTGGACAAAAGATAAACGATTGCTAGAACCGTACCAACAAAAAGATATTGTTATTATGAATAATGGTTCACTGCTATTTACCAGGGTGAGTAAGAGGCAAATAAAATAATTTTTCATATCTTATTATGATTTATGTCCAATAAACTTTACATTTTTTGTCGTAGGTTAATCAAAACCACGAGGGCAGATACACGTGTACACCTTATAATGCACAGGGTACTCAGGGTTCTTCTGGTCAAATGGAAGTGTTGGTTAGAAAACCGCCAACTTTTACGGTAGAACCGGAAAACATGTATCAAAGAAAAATCGGTGAACCCGTCGAAATGCATTGTGATGCTCAAGAAGCTGAAGGAACTCAAAAACCGAAGATCCAATGGCAAAGGGTAATGATGTTAAAAATACAACCTAAGATGATTTAATACTTATTTAACAATTGTTTTTTATAGAGAGATGGTGCTCCTTTGCCTAAAGGTCGACACAGCATACATGGTGGAAACATCACCATCGAAAGCCTTAGGAAAACAGATTTTGGTTACTACCATTGTGTTGCCAGCAACGAAGTAGCTACTATCGTGACTACTACTCATCTAGTAGTAGAAGGTACGCAGCCACATGCTCCATACAACGTTTCAGCTAATGCTTCTGAAACGTCAGTCACGTTACAGTGGTTACCTGGTTATAGTGGAGGACCCGACTATAAGCAAGATTATACAATATGGTAAGTAACAAAATTTAACGTTATAAGTTATCGGTAATTATATGTAAAAAATAAAAAAATGAATTAAGATATATTTATGTCAGAAGTTAGAACTTAATTTTCATTCACGTGAATAGCTGTTTAATACTGAAGATACTTAACATAAAGCTTCTATTGATTCTACGCAGGTACCGAGAAGCTGGTATGACTGAGTGGTCTACCATACCAGTGACTCCTTCGGGAAGCACCCAAGTAACCATTAACCGATTAACGCCAGACACAACGTATGAATTTCAGGTGGTTGGGAAAAATGCTTTAGGTGACGGTATGCTCAGTAAAGTGATATCCATCCGGACTCTGGGTAAGTGATTTAAAAAAAAATATCCCTAAGGTCTTAGATACAATATTGTCTTACCCAAAATAACCGTAATAATATACATCTAGTCACTAAAAGCTAGATACCTGTATTCTACTAATTGTAATGTATTATTTTTTTGTAAATTTATTTTTTCAAAACGACTGACCGTATGGGTTATGGATAAATACACACTGTGTGTCAGTCGGTGTAAAAAGGTCGCACCGTACATTTAGTCGCTTCAGACGCTTTATTCATTTATTCATGGACTATGGAAATCGTACACAATAATACACTTAATATTTTATTATAAATATAGTAAAATATTAACGTCTTTGATATTTGTAAAAATTTAAACTTGCGGCAGTTCAAGGTCAGCTCTTTACTGATCTCTTCTGCTGGTTCGGCCGAGCGTATCGCTACGATCAATGTGACCTTGAGCTTCTGCAGAAGTTATTTTTTACAAATAAAAACACTTTTTTCTATTTGTATATATTATAATGATAATAATAACTTTTCTATTTGTGTACATATTGTATTAATATATTTCTTTTAATTCTTGTAATGTATTGTTATTTTATATTTGGACGCTTACAACATTAAATTACAATATACTTAAATTAACAATTATCTGCAAGTTTCAAGGTCAAATTGAATGTCCATCATTTACAAAATATGTCTGAACTATAGTTTAACATTGGACCTTGTATAGTATATTAATAAAAATTATTAATATATTATTTAAAAAGTATACTTAGTTTTGAAGTTACTAAAGATTTTTTTATCTACTATTGTAAGCGTCCGTCATAATTTTGTTCTATTGAAATGCTCTTATTATATACCATATAAGTTTGGTTTGTTGAGCTTACTCTATATTATTCTCTGTTGGGTGGTAGCAGCCGTACCGTTAACTGTGGCCAAAAAACCAAGTCCCGCGCCACCGGTCACCGAGTTTCCTCCTCCCCCGAGTGACGGTAAGCAGAATTAATAATATAATGTAAATAATAATATTTAGTGGATAAATTACTTTTTAGACGCTAATTTGATAATGCATGCAACCATTGTATACTTAATTACTTTGAAAATAGCACAAATATTTCCTTATTCACTCTTAGCATGGTCGCGTCGGTATCACGCGTTGTAATGTTAAATCATACTATTTAGTTTCTAGTAATGAAAAACGAATCATTATTAATTTTAATATTTATATTTCACCACCAGACAATATTTTTAATTTTAAGATGCTATTCAATAATATTAATTATTTATTTTTTGTTTTGCATGTGTTTATTTTTGTTTCATTTACCCTTTTGCAGACGTCGTCGACTATAGTGACCTCATTTTACCCACTGAATCCAGCGGGGCCACAATGTATCCCCCAGTATTTAGGCCAAAAGGTATACTTGCAAGCTTGGTTTTTTATTTATTATTTTTTAATATTTTTTCACATTGTATTCTGTCTGCTTTGTACCATACTCACATTGTTAAAGTTATTGTGAACAAAATGCTTGAAATAGTTTAAATTACCACAATTTAATACCCTTCGATCTAATAATTAGGTCCCAGACCGGGGGCACCCAGAAATTTGTCCATCACTGAAGTTCGCAACGGATTCGTCATCTCGTGGCAAGCTCCACTGGAAAGAGCTCATCTTGTTCAGTACTATGTAATTCATTATAAAACCGATGGCATTTGGAGGAATCTGAACAAAGCGCAGATCAGAGCTGATGACACGTCTTATCTCGGTTAGTTGACTTTTAATTTGGTCCATTTTTAGTTGAAATAAAATTACACCTAATAGTAAACGCAATTTAATATTTGATTTATTTTTATACAGTAAAAAGTCTAGTTGGAGGTCGGACGTATTACTTCAGAGTGGTCGCTTACTCACTAAAAAGTTTCCAGAGTAGTGAAGAAATTAAATTCCCCGTACCAGCTAGGGTTAAACACAAGGCCATCACTGCTGGTGTGGTTGGAGGCCTTTTGTTTTTCATCGTGGCAATTATATTATCTGTATGTGCCGTAAAAATTTGCAATAAGAGAAAACGAAGAAAACACGAAAAAGGTAAATTTTTTCAAGAAAAAAATTAACTAAACATTGAAATTGTGAAATGAAAAGTATTTTTCCTTTGACTATTACTTCCAAAAAATTGCAGTAACGAAATGAAACAATAAAACAACTTATAATAAATGAACTGAATTATATTTTAACAAATATATTTTTAAGTATCTAGCAATTTAACTCAATGATTTCAATCGCTAAGTTATTTCTAGCCATTTAAACTTTTTTCACAATACGTTACAAGGTTCTTCTTTTTTTTTTACCATTATAACCTTAATTTTCAAATTTTTTAGATTTATATTTTAAATATATAATTAAAAAACAAATTATTTTTGCATACATTCCTTACTTTGTCATGGTGAAGGTAATCGCTACTAAAAATACATTAATACGATTGTGTTATAATAAAATATTTTACAAAGAATCTTAGAAAATATTATTCTAAGTCTACTCTTGTAATACTATGTTTGTTTGACATTATTCTTATAGGATAATAGTTATATTTTTTATTATAAAGCTGAATTTTTTTTTAAATGAAATTAGAATGCCTTAATATAATTTTTATTTATAATAGTAAAGACTAAATGAAAAATATATTAATATTTTAATTATTAATATAAATAGCTATTTCTACATATTCATTAATTTATTTTTTCTATGTTTAATCATTTCTGACAGTATTGTATGTATTGTGTTTACAGCGTACAACATGGTAGCGTGTAGAATAACAGACGCCAGAAACGGAGGTCAGATACCTGGAACTAGTCAAGTGCCTTTAAAAAAGTAAGATTCAGAATTTCTATATTAAGGGAGGTTGAAAAATATTTCATCATTGTTCTATAACATGTGTAATACTTAGAAGGTATTTGGTCTATATAATATAGATATTGAATGTTTTGTATCTATTTATAGGCTCGCAGATACTCGTACTTACCGCGATTACAGACTCGAATATTCGTAGCCGACCATGATAAAATCCTGTAAGCGAAGCGTTTTGTGATTTTTTAACAAAAAAAACAATACAATAATGCTTCGTTCGCAACCGCTTCGATATTTATTTGTTTTCATTCACATTCAATAACTATTAAAATAACATGTGGAATATAGGAGAATATTTTTTTAAGCTGTATAATCAAAATATTGTAGGTTTCTTACAGAATGGTTTTCAAGATAATGTAAAGTTAAACAGTTTGGGCACAAATTTTAAAAAAAAATTAGAGAACAAAAAAGAGAGACTAATAAAAATGCTTCAATGGATATAATTTTATTTATACCGTAAAATATAAAATGTATGATAATCAGGGCTCGGAACTTTAGGAAAATGCATATTTTTTAGAAAAGCGCATATTAATAGTCTTATTTGACATGAATTTGTTTCACATACTCTTTATTTCACAGACAAAGTTTTACTCCACAAATTGCATATTTTAGGATTTTAGAACATAATTTTGAATGTTTAACATGGAAAACCCGTTTTAAGGATAATAGTTTAAAAAAATAATGTCCATATAAAATATTAGTACTTGATTAACTTTGTTTATCTTATTTTGTAACAATATAACAACATGATTATTTTATTTGTAAGTCTATCTTGTACTTCACAGTAACATCATTATCAACATCTAAAAATTTCTACTTCATTTATCATCATTTTATATTTCATCAGCTCAGATTAAGGATGTTCTAACGCAATATTTTTTTATTTATACATTAAAAAAATTATAATACGTGTTTTAATTTTTTAATTATATTTAATTATATATTATATAATTATATTCATTATATAGTGAGTTAATTTCTATAAAAATTTAAAAGTTCCATATAATTACATGATAACTTTTTAAAAATAGTCTATTAAAAAATTATCTATTATGCGTTAAAACATTTCATTTTCATGCAACGATTTATGTTTGAATAACTCCATCAAAGAATATTGGGTTTTATTAAGACCACATATCAACAATTTTTTTCCTGTAATTTCATTTTTTAGAATTTTAAATATTATCTTAGCTAATATTTCTGTACCATTTTGTTTTATTGTGTTGTTACTTTTTTTAATTCCTATAGAATACATATGATTTTTAATTAATATTTTACAATCAGTTTTAAATTTATAAATTAATAAAATTATTAAATTGTTTTTTAAAAAAAAAAGTATTTCATTTTTAAGCACTTAAAGTTCCTGGCCTTGGTGATAATGATGACTGTGTGTTTCTGTTTTGGAAGTGTGAGATAAAGAAATAGTTACCGCACTAGCCAATCACAATATTTTACTTCACTGTATGAAATAGCAACAGTTATAATTTGCATGCATTTTAAATAAATATAAATTCACTTCTGCAATCACTAAATTCATATTTTTAAATGCAATGGAAATCAAAACTTTCATTCGTAACAAATGTAATACTACTCGTTTATGATACAAAAACAATAATTATACATGTATCGACACACTTGTGCGTTACATATTTGTGTACTCTAATTATAAAATATGTTTTTTTTTTGTGCTTTCGATCAGGATAACAGGTGAAGAGCTAGCAAGCTGTTGAGCCGCACAAAATTCAAAATAATATTGGTATATCACAGAATGCGTGTGTCTGTTTGCTTGCACATATAATTTTTTTAACACTTAACGTATCACAATCGTTTTATTACGTTATGCACTTTTGTTTAGTTAGTTTATTTTAGTATTTTCAAACTACTCTCTCCCCGTAAATAAATAAAATGAATATATACACGTACCTGTTTAAAGTTTCCGTGTAATTGACATTTAACTTTAGTAGCAATTATTATCAGTTAGATTATTCCACCAAAATATTCGCTCATCACTAGTTTAGATACTTTTTTTTTATAGCTGTATATCTTTTATTGTAAATTTCTTTAAATGTTTAAAGAATTTAGCACGCATGAATCGGTATTGTTTTTGTTTTGTTCTTGATTTGCATTTTGTAAATACTTGCTTTTAGTAGTCGTTGTAAGTCATATTTTTTCTAAAAAAATTTTTTTTTTATAGATATAGATCAGCTCGAATACCAAGTCTGAGCTCTGGATGCAACGTCGTTCTAAACATGGTTAATCGATCTAGATCCAGGTCACGGTCAAGCTCATTTTTGGATGGTGATTGTGTGGACGGACCAGAACACCGACGGTTGGGTCGCATATCTCGATCAGCAGATGGAAGGTTCGTACTCACTAATGGAGATTCAGATTCTCGGCGTTCTTCGAGCGCAAGCAGTACAAGCGACGACGGAGGTTTTCTGTCACATCCCAGTTTTTCCAATCGGACGTGGAGTAGTCAACGTCCTTTGATCGGTGCTCGTCACGATGGTTCGCGATCTGAAGACTCATTCGATAGCCGACGAAGACCGATTGCTGCCATAACTATGGTTAGTGATCATCAGACACCGTATAGGTCAAGTTCTCCTACATCTCGTCGACACCCTGCCGAATACTTCAGCGGTCAGGACATCAGTTCAGTGCAAGGTTCGGCGGAACAGACGTTACGTAGCGTTCACGAACAATATAGCCAACAACTTCCGTCTCTTAGAGTGATACATGAAGAAAATCAACGAACCTTACTGATGCGACAGCAACCTAGTCCCAGATATCATCCAAACTCTAGGTTTCGGTCAAGACACATGCGTTACGCTAGAAGTGCGCCCGAACTCACGTCGGACGCCATCACCGAACGGTCACCTGAAAGTCGGTCCAGTTCTAGTGGTTTTGGTTCAAAAAACACGTCTAGTCATCAAACTACAGCAGAGGGTCCAGAAAGCTATTGGGGTATTCGATCTGCAGTACCCCCTTACAAACCACCACCACCACCTCCGCCGTCACTGTTCTACACTAATGAACATTGGCTAGACTTCACGTCACCAATTCTTCCTTCTCCATCGTCGCATAGCAGTGCTAGTAAACCTTTGAGCGTGGACGACCAGTACGAGTTTGACCCAATCTTCCCTGTATCGCCTACGCCGACCGAACTAATAATTACGTCCAATCGAACACCGACCACTCCATCGCCATTCCGTTCCCGAACACCAACCCAACTGAAGAAGGCTAAATATGAGAATGTAGAGGCTCGACTTCAGGCCATGAAAGAAGAGTTTTACGCGTATAAGCGTAGACAAGCCGAAATGGCTCGTATGGGTTACGTAGAAAGTGCTTGCTGATTGATCTCTACATATGTAGGAACGACGTCAAAAGCTCAAAAAGAAACAATAAGTTTTGTTCGTTCATAAATATAATTAAAAATTGTTTTTTAAGTAATATTGTAACGTTACCGTATTTGTAAATGTTGAATAACACAACGGCCGAGTGTCGTTATGGTTGTAAATTGACTTAAGAGGAAAGCATAAAAAATTTATTTGTGTATATAAATAATAAATATATGGTAGAAGTACATATTAAGTGTATCTTCTATGAACAATACTGTTTCATGTAGTATTTCCAAAAACATAAGAAAAAAATGATTGCATAAATTTGTAGATGTAGAGATGGAGATGCATAAATATCGGATTAAATTATTTCTCTTAAAAGTGTTGATTACCCTGAAACTATAAGAGCTGGGAATTTAGCGAAAATGTTTCGCGTTCCAACTATTTCAGTTCGACCAAAAAATAAATTAAATAAAAATCCACTTGCTCAAATTGTTTGAGACTGTCCAGTCTGAGGGTGTTATTCGTTTAGTATTATTTTACTTTATTTTTAACATCTATGCCTCCACCAAAACTGTTCTTAAGTTACAAACATTAAGTACATTTAAAACAAACTTTTATATTGTTCATTACTAAACCTTGTGATAAAGTGTGCACTCTAAGAGTTTTATTCAATATCTCGATTTTGTCACTATTAATTATTATAATTATTTAGTATTATGTTGTGTTCTTAGATTTAGTTTTGAGCACCTCCACCAGTTGTTCTCCGCATTGTGTTTTATTATTATTATTATTATTGTATTACATAATTTGAGTTCCTATTATATTATAATACTTTTAAATATCCCAGAGCCATCATTGGTTCCATGTTTCAATGTTATTTCATAAAAAATCAAAATGTTTCTTTTTATTTCATTATAATAATGATATATTTTAGTAATTGATCTACGACTTTTTAGTTTTAGATAAACCACACCTCAGCAATAAATAATAATTAGGTATGATAAAAAAAATAAAATAAATACAATCTAGTCTGAGAAATAATATTTAGATAGATACCTAAGTTAAGATATTATGAATATTATTGTTTTGTTATATTAAAGCAAATCATGTCAATTACCCCGTTTTTAGGTATTATTAATAAGTAAAAACTGTTTAATTGTAACATAAATTTTCTATTTAAGTTTTTCATTTCATTTTAATTGTTAACAGTGTCAGTGTTATTTGGCTAATGTGTACCTAAAAATTCCAACAAAACAATCCAATTAAAATAGTTATTTTATAGTACTTATAAACTTAGACTTAAAAATTTGAAGTATTTAAGCAATGATAATAGGCAATTTAAGATGATTTTATAGAATGGACACATTTAGTTGAATAACACCGCCATAAATATAAAATAAAATATTATTTTAAGTCATTATTTGTGAAAACAAACGCTTTATACAACATATTTAGTTAGCTTGTATAAAATGTTGTTATGACCCGAAGGGGAAATTAATTAATTATGCATTGTAAATTATTATTATGTTGTTGAACTTACCGTAGTTTTATTAAATATTGCAATGAAAAATTGTGCATTTTTTAAAAATAAATGAAGTACTGTAAAGTATATCAAATTTGTTAATATAGGCTGTACTTGGGATCTCACAATTATTGATACTAAACGTAGATCAAATTAACAAGTATGACATATATAACTATTGGTATATAAATTTTTTTTACAATTTTATCATTTTATTGTTTGTTAAAAAAAATTATAATATAAAATATATATAATTAAGATCAAACATTTTAGATGTCTCATTAAAAAATCTTTCGGGTCGTTTTTAAAATTCGTAGTTTTTTATTTTTATTCAAAACGTAAATTTATATAAATATATCTTTTAACATTGTTATTTTTATTATAGGATTTGAAACATTCTCTCTATAATACAAACATTTATAAATGTAAACACTTAATTTTTTTACAACTTTATTTATTATTAATTTATTTCAAAACATAACTGTTATTATTTTTTACCCTGCCATTTTGAACAAAAATATATTTAGTTCTTAGATCTAAGATCTCATTTTTGCGTTGAAACCATTTTGTTATTATTGCCTCATAATTTATTATTTTATTATAATTATTTATTTTTCTCTCGAAAAAATAACAAATTAAAACTACTTGCAAAAAAATTATTATAAATATATGTATAACCTAATTTACATGAAAAATAAATTATTGTATTCTAAAAAATGTTATATTTGTAGATTATAACTTAATGATAATTATATTTGTAAATATAGAAAATATTAAATTAAGTATTATTTAAAATACTAAGATGAAAATTCGAAAAATAGTTTGATTATTCTAAATAAAATATAAGAAAAAACGGATCTTCTTGACGTTTATAACTATTGTGACTGGATATTCATCAGATTTTAAATTATATCTAAAATGTTAAATAGTAGTTACATGATGTATATTAATTAAAAACATTTTTCATAAAAATTGCTTGGTTGCTTTTCTTATATAAATAATTATCCTGTTTCGAATCCGATTTAAGCACTCTAAATTACTTTAATAAAACTACAAGTATAAACTTCTCAGTTTCGCAACAAAGCTTAAAAAAACATATGAGCTTTATTTTTTTTCAATTGTAGTTTTACCCAAAATCAAATGATTACATTCGTTTGGCCAAAGTTGTTTTTTAACTGTGCCTTTTTTAAATTAGTATAGGCTAATTAAATTAATTCAATGTAAAAATAAATAAAATTGAACGTAAGTCCTGTTCAATTAAATAAATTGTAAATTTAATAAGTAAATTGTAAAAATACAAATTAAATTGCGATTGTTGTTACAATTTGATAATTGTAACAATTTTATCTTCGATGCGAAACTGAGTAGGTATTAATTTTACTATGATACGTTTATTTTATTATTTATTATTATTATTTTTTTTTGTGTCGGTCACTACATTTTCTCAGATATCACTGGGCCGATTTTTCTCAACGATAAGTTTAAAGATCACAAATCGTATTTAGTTAAAGACATTACCCTCAAGAATTAAAAATTTCAATTTAACTTTTGAAAAAGTTGTGGAAATAGTGCGTTCTTTAAACATATTTTACATTATTCACTATAAGTTTAAAAAAAAAAATTTTTTTATCTCAACGAACTCAACTTCTTTGCTGCCATAGTTTAAAAAACATTTTGTGTTCAAATTCAATTTTTTTGTTTATTTTAAAATACCTTATTAGGGTTGCCATAGTAATGAAATCGCCAATTGTATAAAATTTACATGATCTAACTTATATTAAATATAAATTTTAACTTATTTTGATTATTTTGCCTCTTCAAAGTTAAGAAAAGAAGTTGCTTTGAATTTTTGAACAAGTTTAAATTGTCATTTTTAGATACTTTATGTAATGCACGTTGGCTACGTCGAATATAATATAGTTTTACATATTTGGGGTTCAAGGTAGTTTAAAAAACTTCTTTGTATTTTTTTCTTGATTCTTTTTGAGGTATAAATATAATTCAATATTTGTTTGATTTTTATCTTATTTAGATTGTATTACTTCAATGAATATTAAAGGCACTACCAGTGTAGTCTCCCTTAATGAAATAAATTTCTTATTCATATTAAAATATTTTACTATATAGTTTTTTTTGCGTCTGTTATTCATTTTTCTCAGCTCTAACTTGACCAATTTTAATAATCAATAGGTCAAAAGAAGACAATTTTAATCTTTTTGAGCTTATAATGACTAAATATTGGTAAAAATCATTTCATTTCAGAAATTCAGACAAATGTGTCAAAATTACGTTACTGTGAAAAATGGACACTTCAAAAAACTTTTTTAAATTAAATATCTCCAAATTAATAAATTTATTAAATTTATTTTTATACTGAATTACATAGTTAAATCATAACAGAAAAACAAAATATTTTTTAATGATTATAGACCAATATATTTTACTAAACCAAATTTTTACGCTGATTTCAAGTCAGAATTTTTTAAGGAATATTACTAATTAAAAAAACATAAAAAATTAATTTTAAAAAAATTGTTTATCAAGTTATTATTGAAATTTAATATTCTTGCAAAACTTCAATTCAAAATGTCATTTTTAATTTATTTTTTTGATCCTGTAAATTTAATTATGATGAAAGTTTATAATTAAAAAATCTTGAACTTTTAAACGCAATTTAAACTCAAATTGCAAGTTAAAATTTATATTATTAAATAGAAAATTTTATGAGTAATATAATATTATATTTTTTAGATTGATATGTGATTAGAAGCTTATATATTTACTATTAACAATAAATTTACGAGGAAAACTCAAAATTTCGTTAAAATCACTATTTTTTGTATTATTAATGTAATAAAACATTTAAATAGAAATCTTAGTAATCATATCTATGCAACTCATGTTGTTTAAATAATTATTCATGTTAATATACTGTTCATAATACATTCTGTTTGTTAACAATTTTAACCAATTTTTTTAAACAATACGTCAAATGATCACAATTAGTGTCTAGTTAAAGATGTCACCCTCCTTGCTTTTGGAATAATTCAACAATTTCTTAAAATTAAACACTACCTACATGTTTGCATTAAAGCGTTTCTTATAATAGTGATTTTAATCACTGTCAGATATCATCTATACTTGTCTCAATTATGACACGACCACACTGTGCCGCGATCCCCTGTGCTATCGTTTTTTACGATGAAAGTCATTTCAATTATTTTTAATTTTAATTTAATATATTGATTTGCCATTTAAACAGTTATTGTAACATCATTTAATAAATATTGTGTTTCTTTATCAAATAACATAATCAAAAATATTAAACATCTAAAGCACTTTCTTAAAAATGTAAAATGTATAAGAAGTTACTAATGTTCCTGGTCTCTCTATTTTAATACTAATATCAAATGTAAAAATTCTAAATATTTTATTCTACAGAAAATAAGAAGAACACGTTCAATTTCTTAAAAAGATTAAAAATTATTAAAAATAAATAATTTTAGATAACTGCTGACCTTAGTTGGTTGGTTGAATTTATTTTAATATAATATACACGTTAGTATCTTTTTGCAAAATAGAATAACACTTGAAAAAATAATGTACCGTCAAATAGGCCAACTTGGCACGTTAATTAAACTTGGAATAGTTCAATATGAAGTTTTATTTTAGTAATATTGATCTAAAGCACTAATAAAATGTTTACAAGTATTGTAAAGAAATACAAAATATTTATGTCACAAAAATCTGTAAAATCAATGAATAACATTTACTCTTAATGATTCTCTCCTTCAAATTTTGCATTAATACAATTTTGGTAAAAAATTAACTATTCTCGAATATTTTATTTAAATTTAAATTTAAAAAGAAGATAATTTATGTTATCTTATTTAAAAGGTAAAATCTATTTTTTATCTACTTTACAAATGTATTTAAATAATCAACATAAACATTTTATAACGTTTCTCAATTGATATTAAACTAACAAATATAGAACTGAAACTTATACTTTTTAATTACTTATTCAAAATTTCAAATTTGCAAATGGGCTTTTTGTCTTTTTGCAACAACAACGTGGTTTGACACTTGCATAACGTCTAATTATAGTAGAAAGGGTTGTCATCAACTAGGCGAGGTGTCACACCTATCAAATAAGATTCCATTGGTGGAATTTAATTGTAAGTTAAGTAATAGTTTAACTTAAGTTAATATGTCGTAATACAGGGTGAAACAGATCTAACTGACAACTCATATAACTTATGATCTACATAACAATTTATACTTTTTTTTTACAATCAACTTTTACAATATAGAACTATATTTAAAATATGTTTTATGTTATTTTTCGCAATTATAAAAAATATTTAAAATTTTTTTTTTAAGTATTGAAGATAGCAATTTTATAGATTTTTAAAGAAAAATTTTGATACCAAAAACTCTTATTTTAATTCAATAGTTACGTTTATACAGCATTTTGAAGTATGTTAAATTTTGATTTTTTTTACAGTTTTCTTATGGTATCAAAAGTTAATCCATATTATGTAAAGGGCGGAAGTAAACACTGACTTATTACGTTATTTACCAGTAACAGTACGTGATTTCTTTTCCATGAAAATTATTAACACTTAAATAAGCATTTGTAATTGACATGAAATAACAAGCAGTAGCATAATTATGATTATTAAATAAAATTATAGAAACATTGTTTAAAACATGTTGAATTTTTAATTAAATAAGTTCATACATCACAAATTTATACGTGAATAATAGTGAATAAGTGCATTTATTATTAAATCTCCTAA